TGCTTTATCTCTTTTTTTCAAGTTTGCCTATTAAGACTCAAATATAAACATGATGAATAAGTTGAATCAAAACCCCCAATGTTAAAGTATGCAACCGTGTTTAAACGGAGGATTGTGAGGTGCGCGTATGCCTTTCCTCACTCCTAACTGAACCCCCGAACCCCGATCTCTGCGCAGACCCATTTTAGGCCACCTTATAATTTGGACGAGTGGCGACTCCCTCCTTTTTATATTTTTCACACTTGATTTTCAATTTATTTTGAAAAAATTTTAAAGTGGCCGTCAACAGTTTGGCGACTCCACTGGGGAGAAATAAGGGATTTAAGCTTGTCTCTCCTTTTTTTCTTTTTTTCTTTTTTGGGTAAGGGTAATTGGTTTTTGTGTTTTAGGTCAAATGGGTTTTTGGGTCATTGGGCTTTAGGTTTGGGTTTTGGGTTTGATTTTGGGTTTTGGGTTTTTGGGTTTTGGTGAGCTTTGGGTTTAATTTTGGTTTTTGGGTTTTGAATTTTAACTTTGCATTTCAACCCTCCAACTTTCCCTTTCTTCAATTCAGTCCCTTATTTTAAATTCCTTCATCTTTGTAATATCCCAAAATTTTGGGGTATTTTAGCATTAAATTGGGGACTTATTTGAGGAAAAATATTGTTTTGGGGCTTAATCGTAAAATTTTAAAAAGGTGAGGGACTAAAAAGAAAGGAAATCAGGATAAGGATGAATTGCTTTTTCTTTTTCTTTTTCTTCCTTTCTTTCCCTCCCCATCAGACCCGCGTGCCCTGCTCTTCCTCTCCCCCGACCCTCTGCACCCGACGAGCTCCCCCCAACTATCGCCACCCATTTTCCGGCCAGAAATCCGGCAAAGCTTGGGGATTTCTCCCTATTTTCTTGTTTTAGAACACCTGTTGAACCCAGAAAATCCCAGATCTGCGTCTTCCTCCCTCTGCTGTCCGTCGGCTTCAACTTGTGGGTTTGAAATTTCTGGGCATTTTTCGTTGTGAGTTTTCCCCCATGGGTCCCGTCGACTTCCTCACCAGCCAAGCTCGGGTTCTGCTGGCTGGAATTCTGGTTTTGATCGTTCTGCCACCGTAGCACTTGGGTTAGCCTTATGTTCTGTGCGAGTGAGGTAAGTAAATTATGGTAAGTAAATTATGGTAAAGCCCTTCGATTTCAAAGCATGTTTTAAACTGTTTTTGAGATGGTGGCAAGGTTTAAATTGATTTTATCAGCATTTGAGGGTGATTAAACTGAAATGAGAATTTGGATGATTTTCATGAGAATTTCCTTGTTTTTCTGAAATTGAGCATGATTGGAATGAAAATGAGGATTTTATTGATTTTCTAGAAATGAGCATGATTGAGAAATGAAAATGAGAATTTCATGGTTTTTCTGGAATAGAGCATGCCTATTTGGGAATTGACTGAACTGCTTTGATGAACTGAGAATTTTGTAAATGTTGAGTTTTCTGTTAAATCCATGCCTGCATGGAAATTTTCCGGTTTGTTCTGAAATTCGGGATTGGTTGTGAAATTCGGGTTTTTTGTAGATCCTGCATGGTTTTGTCTTGGATATAGTTATGATTATTGATGATCCTGCT